GAGACAATTTTACTACACAGCAAAAGCAGGACACAAGTCACCAAAGTTATTTGTGTTACTCGTGCTCGAGGGAGACCCGACTGGAGCCATTTGACCTCCATTGGACTCTCAGCCAGGTTCCCTGTAGCATTTCTTTTATTGTGGTTACATGAATATGCATAGGTTCATTAACATATGATATCTTACATAGGCGTTATTAAAACCTCAACTTTATTATTATTCCTCAACTTCAGGGTTTAAGTGTGTTGAAGTCATGCTATTTTAACACTGATGAAAAATAGCAAGCGGATTTTCATTGCATGTGTGTGTGTTATTAGTCAGGTTTAATCGATGTCTGTGCAGTGGAGCTGCAGATCCACCACGGCATGTTCTCAAAGCTGCCTTTCATACACATTTCTCTGCTATAATTGGATCCTTTTTTAACTACTTTTCTATGAGTCCACTGGTCTTTGTATCACTTTTCATCACACTAAGCGACTTGGACAAGATGATAAACAGACTCACATGCTCAAGATGCTGCCTAATCTTCATGAGCTCTCTTGTATTTATAAGTGTTAGTAAGGTTAAAACATATTCATTATCTTAGGTATGTGTTTAACAGGGCACATACAAGGACTTCATTCCTTCGTTCATTAAATTGGAGGAAGTTGTCAGCCATCCAAACTTTAATAGATTCTAAGCACTCATTCAAAATCTCCAGCTTAGAAACATCTTAGGGGTTGAAAGAAATGTTTAACTGGATATCAACAGCATAGCAGTGGTAGCAGATGTCCTCAAAAGGGTTCAAAATATGCTGGAGGAAAGCAGATACATTAAGAACAATAAAGGCCCAGCACAGAGCCTTGCAGCACACCATAGGACATTAACGTGGAAGATGACCTGTACTTAGAAACTGCACTGTTAAAAAAAACATCCTAAAACAACGGTAATATTCCGGCAGCTGGGGCACCAAAATACGACCGTGAAATAACAGAAAATAACTCCCCATAAAAATACGGTTATTTCAAGTAATGAAAATACAATTAGTTGC